GTATAATTTCTTGTATGTTCAGTAAAGTTATTATTACAGCTGGTTAGTCTGTAAGCGAGGACAGGTCTGTCTCCCAACGATCTAGTGAGAGTAAAGGATCATCTTTCAGGATTAGGTTGTAGATCTCCGATGATGCGCTGGAGAGGTTTCAGTTGGGGGCTGAAGGTGACAGCTAGTGGTGTTCTGTTATTTTCTTTGTTGGGCCTGTCTTGTAGGAGGTGACTTCTGGGTACTCGTCTGGCTCTGTCAATCTGTTTTTTCACTTCAGCAGGTTGGTATTGTAGTTTTAAGAATGCTTGATAGAGATCTTGTAGGTGCTTGTCTCTATCTGAGGGATTGGAGCAAATGCGGTTATATCTTAGAGCTTGTAGCGCAAGTAGAGTAGGAGACAGGATACTGGGCAAGATGGAACGTAATCTGACCCAGTATGGCAGCTCTTATGTTCTTATGAACTCTTGCCACATCTAACTCTTCACAAGGTTTTGTTCTTTAAAAACGGATTCAGTTGCCCGGTGTCCTAATAGCCCGATCCCCAAAGCATTGAGTTTAGGGTAACTATTATTAAACAGCCTGGTGGTATTCCATGCCATTCGGATCTTAGGGAGGGAGTTTCATGTACTTGCACTATACTTACTTGAAAATCTTTTACCCCTTAGACAGCAACAAGCACTAACTGGAAGGAGGGGTGACCCATTGAGCGTTTGTCTTGGTCCCCTTGTCAAACTGTAGCTGTGACAGACTGGCCATAAAGCTGTCCTGTTCTGGGGATGCCTGAGGCTTGAAAAAAAGCAAGATATTGCAAGAGAATTCCTTTGAAGTGCCAATAGTTTAAACATTATGGGGGATTATGGTCTTTTACTTCTGAGCATATGACAGAGTTTCTGTGATCTGGGCATCTGTTCCCAGCGTGAGCCCCACCAACTACAGAGACTGTCTCCTTGATCTTGGACAAGTTACTTAAGCTCCCCGTGCCTCGGTTTCCCCATCTATAGAATGGAGGGATAGTAATACTTACCCTGCAAGCTAAGTATTACTAGCTATCTGAGAAGATAAACATGTAATTTATGAAGCATCCTCAGATGAAAGGTGATGGAGAAGCACAAAATAGCATTATTAGGGTTTACACTTTGAGTAGGAATTTGCCAGTTTAAAAAAAAGCAGGCCTCCACTTTTGCAGGAGATCCCCATTGAAATACACCCATTACTTGACACCAGCTGTAAATTGCCAGGCAAAAGTGTGAATGAACTGAGGATGCAGCATCGTGGACTCAGTTATTTGCAGTGCAAAATACACTCCGCATAAATGGGGGCTTGGTGTGAAGCTTATTTCTGTAGTTTTAGCACCCTTTAATTTTATCACTGTATTTTGAGCTAGCAGGTCAGGATTCATGTAACTGTAACTCTGAGGTGCTGAGTGATGAATAGTTTCAAAAGCATAATGTCTAAGAGTCTGGTTGTAATACTCTGATTTAAGAAAAATCTGAAAATCGTAATACACTATGCCATGGGGGAGGGAAGCTGAGAGAGAGATGATTAATTCCCAAGGAAATGTGTTTTCCTCAGCTGTTAGGCCTGCAAATTCATGATGATACTATTTATATTGTTATTACAACCAGGATCTCATGGTGCTAAGGGTTGTACAAACAGAGAACAAAAAGACAGTCCCTTCCCCAAAGAGCTTAGAATCCAAGTAAGAATCTGAAAGTCACGCTGGCTTGTGCATTGCCAAGAATTAGAGATTCTGCAGCTGGAACTCAGTTTGACTAATCTGGCTATAAACAAGCCAGCTCTCACTCTCAGCTGTTTTGGCTTTGCAGTGCTAACGAAAGTAGTTTGGTCAGTAAAGTAAGCAGAAAGATAACAAGCAAATGCACATAAGTAGCAGATCAGAGTAAAGGGAACTGTCTAATATCCTCGCTTTTCAAGCCAGTACTATACTTTAAAAATGCCCCATTAAGTCGATCTACTTAGAGCAGCAGTGAAGTTTGCATTTTGCCTTCAAAACACCCCTCTTTTGGATTCATTTTTAACCAAACCTGTTAGGTATAACCAGATGCTTCATCACCTCCCACATGAAAAAGCCAGCCAGCCCAGGATATTGTACCAATTTCACAATAAAACCTGTTGGGTGCATGTGTCTAGGGAGTACAGGATGCATTGTCGGCAGTCCTCTGCCTTTTTTTTTTTTTAAATGCAGAGGTGCATGGATGGGAAATTGGTACTTGGAAAAACAACTGCTCATCAGCTTTTGCTACAGTCATCACTGTGGGCTGGTTGGCTGTTTTATGGAATAATAGACCATTTCCAGATGCTGGAAAGTAGGTATCCTGATACATGTGGACTCTCCACCTGGAATCATTGGACAGGTACTGGAACATTTCACAGACAAAACCTGCAATCCGTCTTGTCACTGTATGTGCAGGCCACCTTGGGAGTGTGTGCACCTGTATCTGATTAGATTTTCTAGTCCATTAATCTTGTGAGACGAGGTGTTCTGAGAAGGATACTTGGGAGGAAGGGAGAATGGCTTAGCTCAATGCCTGAAGGTCACAGCATTGATAAAACTCACACTGAAGATGCGTTCAGATGTGTCTGTGTACATTTGGATTGGTTGAGAGTGAGCTGAAGCAGAAGGACTTATTCCAAGTGTGTGATAACGACCCTTAACGTGCCCCAATAGAGCAGCTGGTCATATAAAGCTTTAGCCAGCTTTCTAGCCAAGGTGTGGTGAGGATCCAGTCTAGCAGGGCTTCCCAGAGACCTATAGAATGTACCTGTGCTTCATATTTGATCTTTTCTAATGAATCATTGCACTATGGGCTAATGTACAGGATCAGCCTTGTTCTGCTGGGTAAAGTCTCAGCAGTAAGGACGGTTGCTTGGTTTTCATTCCACTGAAGGTGTTGGAGCTCCAGCCAGACAGGCTGGGTCTATTTTTGGGAAGGAACTAATGCTCCCTAGTATGATTACAACTGGGGGATGAGGTTAGAGCTGCTATTATTGATTATCTAAAATGTCTTGCTTTTTAATCTAATTGCAGGAGCTGGTAACTGAAGGCCAGAGAAGAGGCTGCTATTGAGTGCTCATCTGTTTCCTTTAGGCCTGGTCTACACTAGCAGGTTATGTCGAATTTAGCAGCGCTAAATCGAATTAACTCTGCACCCGTCCACACAACAAAGCTATTTAGTTCGACATAGAGGTCTCCTAAATTCGACTTCTGTACTCCTCCCCAACGAGGGGAGTAGTGCTAAATTCGACATGGCCATGTCGAATTAGACTAGGTGATGTCGAATT